ACGGTTTTTTTCTCCTACCCCTACCATTAACTTCTCAAGAGGACTTTCGGATTGGCAGCATTTTAAGTTATTCCACTGAAAACACATTATACGCTTACAACCATGCTTTCTCCAGGGTTCGAAAAGGGCCCAAGACCATGACCATGGTGGTACGGCAGACGGCTGTCGTACCACTATGACAACAACGTGAATGGTTTATATTGTTTAGATTATGGCAAAGGACGCACGAGGGTACCTGCCTGACGGCAGGATTGCATCCATCGAGGACCATTTTAAAGGAAACTGGCTAGTATTCACGTCACACATGTGAAAATTACCGAACTCCCAAGTAGCCAGCCTCTTCGCCCAGATTTGAACCTAGGTCGAGCTAACTATCAGTGTTAGCGGTTTTTCACACGGCTGCTGGTGTTACTAAGTTAACACGACACAGCGTGATGACACATTTTTACAGTACTTCAAAATATGTACTACAAAGGTCACCAGAGAATTTCCGAATAGTGTCTCCATTCCTCCGGCCCGTCAACTGTCATCTGTTGCCAAAGCCGCAGCACTGCAAGTAACTTTTTGCTAAATATCTTTTTAAATGCGAGAGGAATCTTTGAGAAATAAATATCCACTAAACTACGAAACAAATGTGCACCTACATAAGAAAGTAATGTAAGAATAACAGACAAGAGAACCCTTAGAAGTCAACAGATAAATTATTTACTTCAGCTTCATTCAACTGTTTGTTGAAACTAAAACGAATGTACGGAAAGAGCAATTTCGGGTATAAATGTTTTTAATTCCTTAATTCGCTTAAAATTAATGGACGATAATGAAAGACTAGATAACATATTTGAATTCACCAATTTGAAATTTATATAAAACAAGAAAAAATCGTTAGGGGAGTTGTTTCCAAATGCGGAATAATATTATTTGAACAATCAGTTTCCGAATTCCTTAAACTTATTTGGACAGAAATAAGCGAAGTTTGGAAAGAGCCTAAAAACAAGGTAGTCTAGAATGTGTAATAAGCAAAATTTTTCTGAAATCTTTCGTTCTCTTGCTCAATAATCTAATTCTTGGGATTCTAATATTTTTTAATCACCTAACCTTCCTTTTCCTCCTTTCTTACCGCAGGTTTGTTTCTTACATTCACCTTGCTCCGCATTTGGGAACAGACAAAAATAAATAACTAAATTTTACCTGCTAACTATAATATAGGGGAAGAAAGCATTTGAATTCTCAAATGCTATAAATCTCGAAAAATATTCTAGGTTCCAAAACTCGAATCTTCCCCCTTTTCTCGCCAGGCAAATCATTCAAATCATAACTTAAAAAAATCACTAAACGAATTAACACTTTATTTCAGTATTGCGTCCATTAAAAAAAAGGAACGCAAATTTTGCAATTTCAGAGACACCAGTATCCTCTCCTCATCTCAATATCTGCAAAAAACCAAAAACTTAGATCGTTACTCAAACATTTTCTGCCAAATCCTAATCCTGAAAAAATTAACATCACATTTCAAGAATTTTAATTAAATATTTAATTCATTAAATTTCTTTTGTTTTAATTAACAGTAATTTTTTAATTAATACTTTAGATAGAAACCAATTATTCATAAACGTCGATTTCAGATGTAGATTTTTAAACCTGTTTTCTTATTTATAAGATCGTGGTTTGTCCCAATGTGTAATGCGCATACGAGCCAGTCTCCCTTAAAATGCCATCCACAAAGGCATCCCTCTCCTTAGTCAGGTAGCCTCATATGCTTTATTTAAATAGCCAACTGACAAATATCCTTATGCTTATATAAGGATGTGAAAGATTTGATAACATTTTAGGATTTAAATTCGATTTTTTAAAATATTTATAATTCATTTCATCACTTATATCTCCTAATTAATGAGAAAAAAATACGCTTTCGATGAAAGACAAGGTAATGACTATCAAAACTGAAGCAGCAAGTGCAAAAACCGCGAATCATAATGTCGAAAAAGCAATTATTTTCTCGCTCTTTATTTTGCTGAAAAATCTAATTTCATCTTACATATTTCTAAAATGGAAATTTAAATTCCTTACCCTTAATTACTTTGATTATTGATTTACATAACTTACATAAATTAGTGATTTTTTCCCCAACGGATTGGCACTGCGGTTTCCCCCGGATTCAACACTCGTCACCGGTTATGTTCCGTAGGATGCACCACAGGATAGGAAGAAGCTTCCAGAATAACAATGGTTTTATCAGGTGAAAAATTATCGTCCTGTGATACTACTCGTTTTAGAAAGGGAACAGCCCCACAGGGCTTCTGAAAACCACCGCTAGGTGGAATCACTGTGCTTAATTTATAAAGGATAATTTTTTTATTTGAAATTTTTTTGAAATAATTCATAATGCGCCATTTCACTGAATACCACCCTTAATTACCCCAAAAGAGTGGGCCAATATTATTACAGCAAGGGGGCAGAGAAAATGAAGAAATGTCCATATCTCTCCCGGCATCGGAACGCCAGTTTGTCGAACTTTTCTGAACTAAGCACTATAATCAGTATCCGCCATTGGCTGAAGTTTAGGTGAAAATATTTGTATGCTACCATTTATCATCTATCGACGATGAAAACATGACGAAAGGTAACGATAAAAAAACTTCATTTCTTATCTAACAATATTTATTTCTTAATTTTTTAAAAAATTAGACAAATTTAAAAGTAAAGGTTTATTAAAGAACATTATAAGAAAACAAGAAAATTATTCGAGTGAGAAAATTTTATATGTATCCACAGAACGAGTTAAGCTTTGTATTATTTCATTACTTAAGATGTTTTTGTCTTTAACTCTGGAAGCTAGTTCATCAATGGAAGAATGGCTAAGGATGCTGATTGCTCAAACTAGGTTCATCTCTGAAGGATCACACAGCTAAATGGGTTTCCTCTGATTTTTCACGTGCTTAATGTGGATACGATCCCTTTTTCTTTGGATCGATAATACCACAGAGTGATAGTAATCATCTAATTTGTTTAGAATGAAAGAAATATACATTGTTTTCTCTATCATGAATGGATTATCTAAAGCACAGAGCCTTTTGAAATTTAACCTGATTGTGAAATTAGTTGAGAACTACACCCCCTTCTATGCATTGAAAAAGATGGCATATAGGAAATCGATGAGTATTTTTCTACACATTACCTCATTTTTGTTTTAAAATAAAACCTCTTTTTGTCGGTCAATAAAATTTGTACGAATTGTTAAGCATTTTATTCTTTTAACTGCATGTCAATTAATCAGGCGAAAAATAGATTTAATGATTTTTTACAAATAAATAAATAAATAAAAATAAAATAAAATAAAATTAATTAAAAACTAAATAGATCGACTTCATAAAAAAAATTGAAATTTAAAAGCAAAATAAAAGTTTGCTACATAAATTAAACAGATTAAAAAAACTGGCTTTATTTAATATTTTAAAAAGTTTTAATTTTTTAATTTAATTTATATTTCATTAATTAATCGATCAATTTCTTTTAATTTTTATTTTTAAATATTTTTAAAAGTTTAAGATGTTTTAATTTTTAAATAAGTCCGATTAGTATCTAAATATTTTTTCAGTTAAATTCTTTAAACATGAATTTGGCAACATAAAAACATTTTGGTTTTTCTTTAAATACTCTCCATGTTTTACACGTATAGTATATCTCTATAATATAATGAAAGACTAAAATTTCTAAAATAAATTCTTGTGGTCAAAGGGTTAAGTTATAAAGGGTTAAGTATAAGAGGGCTTTTGAGCCTTTGGTTTATTTCGTTATAGCAAAGCACTCGAAGGCTATCTGCCTAGGGGTATGAATGCCTTCGTAAAGGGCTTTCTAAGGGTAGCTGGATCATATACATGCTACGCAGGGCGAAAACAAAGAAATCGCGCACTCAGCCAGTCCGTTCGGCGGAATTCGAACCCGAACTGAACTCAGTGTTCAGCGACGTTTCTGCTCAGCCGCTGGTGAGCCTGATTAATTAATTATGCAAAAGTAGAGATGTTTTATTGAAATATAAAATAAAGCGTCTAAAAAGAAAAAGAATGAGAAGTAATAACTTTTAGAGAGACATTAAAGCTTAAAATGAATAGTAACTCAGTAATCACTTAACTAATTAAAACTTTTGAAAAAATTTGCAAACTAAAAACAAAATGCCATAAAGCCTGAGAATTCTCTTAAACAATACAATAGTAAACAACAAAATGAAGAATAAATAACAAATATTATTCCGAACAGACACAAAATCCTATGTAAATTTACACACAACATTTAAAGGATACAAAAGTTTGATTATTACACGTTTTAAATATTTTGCAATTTTTCTATAAATAATGTAACAATATACTTCTGTAACAAACAATGTAATAATGCGATAATAGCATCTTTTACAAGCTGGGTTTCGCTATAAAGTTTTAAAAAAAAATCTTATTTTATTTCTTTCCAGCATACTAATGCTGGAAAGAAAGGAAAATTACAAATTATTACAAATGAAGTGCAAAATTTGTACAAAACTGATCAAACTTGAATTTAATCTTGTAAAATAGGAAATTATTTCTAATTAACTGAAATTCGGATGATAAAACAGCATAAATGAATCAGAGATACTACGTAGCCACGTACATGTATACATACATATATACATGAACAATGTGCGGAACTAGTTTGTACAATATAATACATACCAAAATAAATTTTTATTTATTTTAATAATTTAAAACATTAAAATTTACAGAATTTTAGTTTTTTAATTACATAAATTGAAAGAACCAAAATTTATTTTTTTCAGCATGAATACGATTTCTGCTACTAAAATTTATCAATAATATATGCAAGTTTCTGAAACTTAGAAATAATGTACTCAAAATAGAAGTGCATTAATACGCCTCTGAAATTTCTAAATATGAAAACTCTGATGGCATGATACTAATTAATATTAATAACCTTCCTATATGTTGGTCATGAATAAAGATAAGTTCCAGTACCTGCCGCCCAGTAGTGACGAGGACCAGACAAGCCAGATACAGAGCTCCAAACATAGGTACCTGCATTATTGACAGACTGCTGCCGATTTGACACAGCCAGCGTGTCTCTCGGAGTTCTCACTCACTCAAAAGAGCGCCAAAAGACACTTTTGGCGTAAAATAACAAAAAATACTTTACAACGCGTTCTCGATTGGCTGCAGTGGAAGCCGGCGTTCGTCTGCTGAGAGTTGAATGAGTTATGGCAGACAGATGGCACAACGCCTCTTGCGGCACACCTGCTGCGATTTTAATTCAGCGATGAAGACTTTTTGATCGCGCTTACCTTAAAAACAAGAGAAAAATTAATTTTACTCTTTTCTTTTTTCTCTCAAGCTGAGTGGCAACGATGCATTAAAGTATCTATACTTTCGCTGCGGGAAGCAAACCTGGTACTATATACAGCAAGGCACAAAATTGAAAAACTGGAATTCTCCACCCGAGTCTTGATATTTGAATTAAAAAAAAAATTCTGCAGGTTTCAGATTTTAAATTACGTCCAAAGGGGCTTTTTTTTAACGTTTTGTGTGTTACCTTTATATATTAACTATCATGTTCTTTACACTTAAACCATAAAATTCTGTTCAATATCAATGTCGCAAAATAATTTTAAAATGAGCATATCTTTAGAATTTCCGATACACAGCTCCGCGCACTGAAGATAAAAAGCTTTTTGTTCTCCCGTAGAGTGTTGCCATTTCTAGCTTTGAAATCCTTGAGTTTGTTAATCAAACATTCGTTAAAGGTTTACAAAATAGGAAATCGATAATAAAACAAATTCCAAATTTCAAATTTGGTCTTCGACATGCCCATATTCGTAGGAGAATTACGTCATTCAAAATTCGATGGCTCTATGTACCGTTGTTTTACCATAATGCGAGAAATATACATCATTTATGCAGATTTTTCATTATTTAATTTCTTCAAATATAATGCAGGACTCTAACACTTGGTGGCAACAGTTTGAAAAGTGAAACGGACATTCATAGTGATTCAACGCAAAATCGCAAAACGAAAATAATAATCCTTCAGGGACAAAGTCCCTTTGGACTAAAAAATCGGAAATGTCTCAGATTTTAAATTACGTCCAAAGGGGTTTTTTATTTAACATTCTGTGTGTTATCATTATTTATTAAATATCATGTTCTTGCACTTAAATATCCTGTTCTTCGTACTTAAACCATAAAATTCAGTTCAAAAGCAGTATCTCAAAATAATTTTAAGATGAACATATCCTTTAGAATTTCGGATACATAATCTCGCGCGCTGGAGATAAAATGTTTTTTTCTGTACAACGTTGCCATTGTCGCTTTGAAATCCTTGAGTTTGTTAATCAAAAATTCGTTAAAGTTTTACAAAATATAAAATCGATAATAAAACAAATTCCAAATTAGGGCTACCAGATGCCCATATTCGGTGAAAGATTACGTTATTCAAAATTTGGTGGCTCTAGGTACCGCTGTGTTTTATTACAATGTGAGAAACATATATACATTTATGCAGATTCTTCATTATTTATTTTCTTTAAATATAATATAGGACGATAATATTTGGTGGTATCAATTAAAGGAATTAAAGTTAATGACCTAAAACTGCAATAGTATATTAGAGTAGAAGTGAAAAAAATTGACAGTTTCACTCACGCGCGTGTCGGATTTGCTCAATACTTATGGGGGTCCCACAAAATTTTTTGTAAATATTATGTGGTCTTGGGGGGTTGAAAAAAAAATCTCAGTGATAAAGGGGGTCGCGACTGGAAATAGTTTAACAAACCTTGCTCTACACGGCCAAGGGTTTGTTTCCGAAATCCCAAATTTCCTAGAAGTGCTCATGAGAACGAGGTGTTTTCTTGATTTAAATGTCAAAACAGACGTCGCACTTTTATCTTTTCCTTTTAATATATTGCTTTAATTTCTTGGGCGTATTTCATGATATACATATATATGTACTTTTTTTAAAAACGTTACGAAAAGTATTCTAAGCCTTATATATATGTATACCACCTAGTCTGCTGAAAGGATTATATTCACAAAGGTTAAAGGGTTAAAATAATATATTTTTACAGTTGTAAAAAATGTACAAAACACAATATTTTAATGAAAATAAAGAATAAAATCACTTTTCAATTTCCCTAAGCATGCAGATCAGCTTTTATTTAATTAAAATGAAACATAAAAGTTCAGTTTTATTTGCTCAAATTAGAACTAAATACATAATCTTGTTTTTGCTTTTCCTTCTTTAAAATTACCCAAAGAAATCATTTTGATTATTTTAAACAAGATTCATAATTAAACGTTGAATAAAGATTCAATATGTCATTGATCTAATTAATATCTTTCTAAGCATTATACAGTTTAATATCCTGTTTATGTTACTTGAAACAACGAAAATATTAAAACTACATAAATTAAAAGCAAACAAAACTTTACTTGGTTTGTTATTTTCTAGATAAAAGAGCGATCCAGGTAACTGAAATTCTGAATATTTATAATTCTTCTTTATATTAAACGTCAGATAAACCAGTATTTCGATAAAGATTCTATGTTCTTTTGATTGAAATGTACAAATAATTGCAGCATAACACTGTTGTTAATTTTCTAAAAAGTGGCGAGTACTAAATGAATTGACTTTAAGCGAAGTATATTAATCGACAATTAATCGGCGCTACGGAGTGAACGACCCAATTTTTCGATTTAGTCGAGTTTTTAGTCCATTAACACATTTTTTTTTCGGGTTTTCTTCAAACTCCGTAGCGATAAATTTGTTTTAAATTTGTCAGCATTATTGAAACAGATAGTTAAAAATATATGGCTATTATACGGAAAAAGTACTACAACTGTCGATATTCTACAAGCAGGACTTTCAGTATAATATTAAAGTCTTATATCTTTGAGCAATAGACTAATTCTGTGGATTAATAGAATTTATTATTCAGACTTTAATCAACTTTGTATCAGATTTCGATGGAAGAATCCCCCCTATTGTGTTATTAAAAATAATGCTGGGTCTCTTTTTGCCGAAAATTTATTCTCATTTCGATTTTATCTTTTTTAAATTCTGGAACTAGACCTTGAAACTAAGAAAATAATGATTAATAATTATTATTAATAATACTTCTAATAATTATTAGAAAATAATAATTAAGAAAATACTCGAGCTAATTTTGAATCACATTACAGATGCGTTGCCGATCATAGCATGGTGGGAAGCTTTGAAGCTCTCCGAAATCTTGATAAAGCGATGCCCAGTTCTCGAGAATTCTCTTGCAAGATGAGAAGAATAGAATTCTTTTCTAATATATTTATTTAATTTTATGTGAAAATGGGAATACTTACATATTAGCGCAACAACCTTGGTTCAGTTTGGTGATTTTTGACAGGAGGAAGAGGAATGATTTTTGACAGAAGGAAGTGGAATAGTGACTTATAAGTGGAAAGAATTATTTATACATATATTTCATTTTTTATCTTGATATTTATCTCAAAAAGTAATTGATAAACCTACTTACAACTGCGTTTTGTTTCTTTCTCTCTGATGGAAATTTCCTGGTGATCACTTTAGGAATAAATTCATAGCAATTTTTCCCATTATGTATTTACAGCAAAATGCTAGAGAAATTTTACCTCAATTTCTTTCAATGCAGACAAATCTCACAAATTCATATTTTTTGAAATTGAGATTAGATTAAAAAAAAAAAAAAAAAGCTCACGATTTTGCAGTTAAAACCATTGGAACTTTAATACAAAATGGAAACGGCGACGTTGTTTAACAAGACAGAAGAATTAAACATTTAATTGCCTGAATAACTGTTGGGAAAATTTGGCAATTTCTTATAGAGTTTGCACTAATACGTAAGTACTAAAATGTTTTTATATTTAATATCTACTGATCCAGAAACTGAATCATATGTTTAGACTTTAAATAAAAACCTTAAAATAAAGCAACTGATTTTTATTTGAATGAGTTTAACCTCGCTTATATTTTGTACAATGTTTTACGAATTTGCTTTAATTGGTGGATGAATTATGATTATTTCTATTACCTATCGCATTCACTTAGCTATATTGATGAAGTAATAAAACACGAAAAGCGACGGATTTAATTTTTTTAAATTTTATAATAAAACATAATTTTGCAGCTTTAAAGGAAATGATAACTAACAGATATCTTCCGAAAAAAACAGACAATGAGACTATCAGTCAAAATAGTTTTTAAAATGACCGTAAATACGTGTTTTAATTAAGATTTCTTTCCTTGGAAACCCGATTTTCTTGAGACTCCCTACTATTTCATCAATTTTCTGTTCCCAAAACTTAAAATATTCCCCCAAAATATTAAATTTATTTTTTAATATTCTCTTAAAAATTGCCTTAAATTTATTTTTCAGTATAATCCTTAAAATGCATTAAATTTACATTTTAATATAATTGAAATATAATCATTTCTAAGAAAGAAAGTCGGATAAGCTATCGTAATTTGTAGTCCTTGGAATGAAACCAGATTTACCTGTTTCTATTATTACAAGGTATTTCTCCAGCCTTCTTAGCATGCCTTTGTGGTGTAATGGTCAGCATATGCTCGACGCGTATTCAAGAGGTACGTGGTTCATGTCCTGGCGAGAGCATTGCTCATTTTTCACTTCTCCTGCTTTCAAAAACCTAATGTCTCTACAGTATAAAATTGACCACACAAATGACCCGTTTGGAATTAATCAAAATTATCTCATATAACTCGTTAACTAGCGATGTATTCGCCCCTTATATACGAATCAGTCTATAAGAGACAACTTCTTCTACTCATTACAAATAATGAAGATAGCGATAATATTGTTAGCTTAATTAAGAGAAACATTGCTACTAATAATAAAAGTCTTCAGGAAAATAGGAGAAATTATTACTAATGTGTTTCTAAAAATGTAGCAATTATAAGCAATTTTGTGTAAGCAATTTCATTGCAAATGAAACTATGAAGATTTATTTCATAATATATGTATAAAATACGAAGGTTTTTCTCGTCATATAAAACAATTACTGCAGTGTACACGATAATTAAAAAATATACTGTAAATTGGTTATTTTTGAAGAAAAACATTTATTTCAGTTGTAGTAAAAG